TGCACTTTAACGAGTAGCGCGCATCACTTATCGTAGATTTGGCAGGATGTATTATTACACTACACGAATGATATGCGATGAATAATCGTCTTTAATGCTAGCGGAACTGTCCGACTCTCGCAATTGGGCAGACGCCGGAGGTCTATGTAAATTGACGTTGCGTGTTTCGATACAACATCGAAATGTTCGCTTCCTGTTTCGTGTGAACGTGTGTTGGAAACGTGTGTCGAACGCGACGACCCCATGTTTCGTACAATGGAAAGGAATTTTTCACCGAAACGCCGTATAGAAATCGTATGATGGCGCCAAAAGGCGTCGGCTGCGATACGATAACTGCATCGAAATGAGCGATTCCATACCACGCAATAGATCTCATAGCCTACTTGAGTATGCGAGAGCGGTTCGAAGGCTCGTGCGTATACGTTAAAATAGCACGTGAGGTGTGTTCGCATTTTTAGCTTCACGTCAATGTAGAAAAAACACACGGAAGCATTACGAGGAACAACAATAGTGATATACTGCATAGGTCGCGCAAAACCTAACTGCGCCCGATTGGCGATTTTTACGCACGTATTGTCGCGTGCTAATATCGAGATACCGCTCAATCGAAGTACACAATAACTAAATGAATGCAAAAAAAATGCAAGCTTCTGTTGCTGTTACAAAAATTATAAAGCGGCGCTCCACTTTATTAAATGGTTGCAACGTATCTGCAACCCTACGGGTGTTGCAAATGTCTACGGTTAGCGGTTATCACTTAGCATCGGGTGAACTGCCAGCTCGCTTGCCACCTGCTAATATAAAAAAATAAAGAGCATGTGTAGCTGAGACCGTCGTAAGAAGTAAATAGCGGAATGTTTAATAGTTATAATAGTTTTTTTTGAAAATTTTTTTTTTTTTTCAATTCGAAACAAAAGTTTTCTCCGGTTACGAGACGAATAATATAAATCGATAATATAGAGGAGAGACAGCGAGCTAGTCAAGGTGAAAACATTTAGTTTCGCACGTAGACTGAGTGGCCGTTAAAACGCCGCACACGTTCTGTCCGCGACGATACAAGGAAATCGTGAAAACACGCCCGTGCTCTAATGAAAGCGCTTAAACTATCGATTAGCGATAATCCGACTCAGGTACGATGTTGTCGAATGTTGCACGAAATAATCCGTCAACAGCACGAGTGCCGGAAGGAGTCAATTTCATATAAAGCCACCATCTTATTCTGCTGATCTAAATAATACGGTAAACAAAGAACTCTACGGTGCACATAAATACATACAAATACAATACTGTGTACATAGCACACACTAGGAATTTATTTTCACTAACCTTACACGCTCGTTTATATCAAATTTTCTATATAATTACTTCATATTTTAAACAATTTACTTAATTTTATTTATTTTTATTTATTTAATAATTTATGTACACAGAGTTATGGCAGAGATGTAAATAGATGAAATAATTTGTACAAAGGTCCTGCTTATTTCATAAGAAATTTCTTACTTAAGTTACTTAAAACAACGAGTCTCGGAAACAAAAAGGCCGGGATTGGAGCTGCAGGTAGACAAAGCGAGTAAACAGAGAAAGCCGATCCGCAGATGCTTTCAGGCGGTCAGATATTTTCTTTGTATTTATTTTTAATTAAGCTAAAAGGTTTTTTAAATTGCAGTAAAGAAAAATGGAAAACTAAAATAATAACTAACGGGATACGTTTAAAGCAGGGGTTGTCATCTAGTCCATAGTAATCGGCCAGCCTTTTTTTTAGTTGATAACTTTCAAAGGTAACTTGAAGTAGAAACCGTGATAAATGTTGTTGCATGTTATTTAGAATATATATATGAGATAGCTTGTATATTTAGAATACATGTACATACATAATAGTTCACAATTTCCAGCCTGTCAACTGCCCACGGTCACGTGATCACGTTAAATTAGATATTGTTTTAATATATATTATACATATATTACACGACATGACATTTAAGAGGAAAAAAAAAGAACATCAGAAAAGGTTGAGCGCACCTGGTTTGGAGTAATCCAGTATTTTAGGATTAATTCCCATGAGACGGATGCAATAAGACAATAAGACATCGAGCCAGACGTTTAGTCTGAGCGATGTTGAAAGTAAAAGCAGAATTTGCGCAATCCGCGTGACTCTCGTCACACATCAAACGCCTGTGCGCTTATACTCGTTAGACCACTCTAATAATATTCTACAGTTACAAGAGCCGATAAACTTGAATAAAAAAATAAAATTGACAGTCTAAGACAGTCATGTTTTACAATACATCAGTTATATACTACTATACTTTTATGGATAACCAAAAAAGCCTAATGGATAAAGTCGAATTCCAAGCGTAAAATTGAATTTGTCTTAAGAGTTTTTGTGGCACTAATACGATAAATATACAAGTTTTTGTCTTTGTGAGCTTCTTTTTTTCATCACAACGCAACAGCTAAAGAAATTTAACTAGAAGAGACATTTTATTAGATAAAAAGAAAATTAAATGTAGTCACATTAAAAAGAGAAAGAGTACGGGATTTTAAGTGATAATTAACGCGATCATTTTAAATTTTAATTTAAGACGATTCGAACAGTTTTCAGAATTCATGGTGGTGGGACAGCATCAAAATCAAACTCATTTATTCATCGACATATGAAAACTTATCGATAGTTGTTTTTTTTATTCTACCACAAAAACAAACTTGATGAATCCGTTAAAACCTTTTCATTAAACGTATAAGAAATTATTAGTGCAAGACTATTTATTCGACCCTCGTAGTTAGGGCTCAACGTTCGCGCTAGTCCACGTGACGGCTTTGAGTGACTTCCCCAGTTAAAGGAAGCAATAAATGTGTCGCACGAGCAAACAAATAATTACGAACGTAACACGGAGGAAACGAGCAACAGGACCTCGCCTCGTGGAATTTTTCGCCACTCCACTTTTATTTATAACTCCAATGTAAGCACACGATAAACGTTCACGATAAGGATCGCAAAGCAAATTAAACTGGAGTGTTTATATGGATATTAATTTATGCGCCTTCCATAACATCAAGGGATAGCAGTAACGTTTCATTTAATTAATTAACTTAATTTTTATTAATTCCCTCATAAAAAGAACGATAATGCTAAAAGAGATTTTGATTAAATACCGTGAAATTGTTTTTGGTTGGATCAATATCCGTTACTGACTTCTCACATTTTGTTAAGAAAATCAAAATTATATGCAATAAAGGGTAAAGGGTTTTCGCCACTACTATTTTAATAGTACCTGGAGGACTTAGCTCGGTTTGTTTTTTTTTTTGGTAAATCGTGTATTTTGGAAATTACATTTAGATACAAATTACTGAGTAATGAAATACGCATAATATTTTTAGATCTTACCTACGTAATAATAAGAAAATATGAACTGGTGTTTTCACAAAAGAAAGAAATTAAAAAAAAAGGGAAAAGGGAAAAAAGAACAAAATCATCTAGATGGACAAAAAAAAATAAATAAAGAAAGCAATGATCTGGAATCGAAAAAAAAGTAAAAAAATAAGTATGTAAATGATCGTGACACGAACCACGGGCTTCTGTTTCGGGGATGCCCGATTACCGTCCGAGCTATTACAAAAAATTTTTAGGTGAAATTTACCGTCATATTCAAATGATATTTCTCATTCCCTGAAAACAGGGATAAAAGGACATTTTCTAAAAATGAAACCTAGCTAGATCGATTTTTCGCCCCCAAATCTACGCACATACAACAAACATTTCATGAAAATCGCTGGAGCCGCTTCTGAGATTCCGGTTATATATATATATATATATATATATATATATATATATATATATGTATGTATATAAACAAGAATTGCTCGTTTAAAGGAGAAGATAATATTTGGGTAGTGCATTGTGAAAAGCATGAAAAAATTCACAATTGTTCAGAACGGACTGCATGTTAATAATTAATCATTATTATACTCTGAGACTTTAATTATCGGCTGAAAAACCTTTAATACTTAAAACTAAACTTCGGAAATTAACGTACGAAGTGAAGTTACGAAGGCACCCTAATTTTTTTTTATGTGAGGAAGTGGCAAACGAGCTGGAAGTTCACCTGATTTTAAGTGATAACCGCCTGCCCCTCGACATTTGCAACACCCGTAGGGTTGCAGATGTGTTGCCACCTCTTAATAATGTGGGCCCCGGCTACCTCATTCACCAGACGAAACGCAGAAGTGCACTTCTACTTTACGCCGGACTTCTGCGAGGTCGTGGTACTAACGGACCTGCCCATTCGTGCAACAGCGAACACTGTTGCGTGGCCCTACCACCGCAAAAAAATTTCTAATCACATGCTCAATGCGGTCAAATAGTCGAATAAAAAAAAATTTTATCCGCGATGTGAATATAAAATTCATAAAACTATATTAGGCAGAAAGAAGAATAATATATTAAATATTATTGGTTTGAATCGATTTTATACAGATTGCTTATTAATTGAATAGGAAAAGATTAAGAAAATTTTAATAAATATTTACGAATCAACCTACTTTAACCGGAGAAGAGAAAGTTATACTTTTTGATGATCACGATGGAATTGAATTCTCAATTAAATTTAAACTCTGATAAGATTAAAAGTTAGTACCACACGAATCAACAACACCACACGGCAAAAGTACATCGAGCAACAACGATCGGACTTAGGGCACTGGGTCAAGGAGCTCTAGTGCCATGGTGCAGTACACACACACACTTCTATTCGGACCCCATGCACGGACATCAGTGCGGTGTGCGTGTATGGGAACGGTAAACGCCGCCATAAAAGATCTATCTGCGGCGGCAGGCCGATTAATAATTCATGAGTTACCGTTCTCGCTGACTCAATGTCCCTCGAGGAACGAAACGGGCAGCAAAAACGCAGTACGATTAAACTGTAACGACTATGACACATAAGGTTATTGCAAACGAAAATGAATGGAATATACTCATCGGGTGTACCTATTCTTCAGCATGTTATCGGGCACGAAGACGTTCCACCAGGAGGGGCGCTTCTGTCTGACGTACGTCGGCGTGTCGAGCTCCTCGTCGGTCTCGTTGCCGCCGGACTTGCGCCGCTTCTTGCGCTCGAGCTGCAGCTTGGCCGCCCACGAGCGCCTCCTGCCTTTGTCGCTGGCCCGAAGCCGTCGCCCGCGGGCACGGCCAGGGAGGCGCGGCGCGGCGCTTCGGGCGGTGGCCCGTCGAAGTCGTGCAGCTTCCTGTAGCGTTCGGCGAAAGTCGCCTCTGAGGCGCGGCGGCCGTTAGTCGCGGGCCTGGCCGCTCTGAAGCGCTCGGTGGGGCCGAAGGTGTCGTCGTCGTCGGTGTCGGGGGCGGCGCGCCCGTCGCTGTACCGCCTCGGGGTCTCGTCAGCCGCCTCTTGGAGACTGGCCAGCGTGAGGCTGGGCCTGTGGGCGCGTAGGCCGCGTTGCACACGCCCCGGCCTCGTCTGCAGCCTGGCCAGCGCCAGCGGCACCGGCGACTCCGTAAGCGTCGGCTCCCCGCTCATCGTTACAATTCAAATTCGGCACTGTCACACCAACACTTCACTTACGGGGAGCGCCTGCCAATGTCGCCGTCACTTTTCACCATCATCGTTGAGAACACTGTACGCCGATGAGATATAATTTTCGCTTTTCAATATCGCATCCTATGAATTGTTTAATGAATTGATTAGACGAGGAGAATATTTGACTGGGCAACAGTGACGTAATCAGTGTATATGTGCGTTCCGAGTTGTTTAAGATAAACGCGAAAGAAAATCACTCGATTTTCTCATGACGCAAATAATTAACCGCTGAAGTAGATTAGACACATATTAGTCATGATCGTGTCTGATATATGACATTATCTGATTTGGCCCCCCGCTAGCAAATCTCAACGATGTGAGCACAAAGAATGACTGATATATCATTCATTACGTGTAATAAATAAGTTTAAACATGACGTAATCCATCAACATCTCACTAAGCAATGCAACACGAAATACATTTACATTTTAATGAAATTGAGAACTGGTGGCATTACTTCGGTATTCATGCAGCTTAGCGTAAGTAAGGTTGCCTTCAATCTATCCGACTATTTGTTATAGTATTAGAAATATTAGGAACAGCACACGATTTGCCTTATAAGGCGAAAGCGCATTAAGATACATTTCTTTCAGTATCTTTTCACTCCATGTTTTACAACAACCAATACGGCTTACCTCACCGAGAGGAATAACTTGGATGCTCTAAGAGTAATCGTTATTTACGAATTCTTGATCACCTACCTACGCAGCATATCCAGCATATAATGGATGAAGTTCGGAACAAAATTAAAAGATACGGAAATTTGGTGTAGACGTATAATAAATAATAGCCATTGGTCATGTGACGTTAATGATGATGTTAAGGAAGAATAAGACATTTTTTGTTTATTTACAATATTATTATGACTTCATTGTATTTTTATAAGGTCTTAAAATTATACTTATGGAAAGTTATTATGATTACATCCGAGAATAAAATTTCTTGTAGTGATATTTACTTTTTTAAATACTAGATTTTAATTCATAATCTTAATATATTAACATAATTTTATTCATATTTCACTCGAATCTATTAATTCTTTCGTTGGATATATTTATAAAAGTTAGTTCTAAGACATTAATAGTCGTATTTCGGAGCAAACAAATTATAAACATAAATTAGTTATGTCATCTATTGTATAATAAACCAGACTACGGAAACTTAAAACATGTTGATGAATATTTGGAGATAAGGGGCATGTGTAAGGAATGGATATCCGAGCTATTAATTATTCTTAAGAGTTGTTAAATTTTCGCGCTGACTTAAGTCAGTTAAGGTTTAAACCTTACTTAAAGGGAGCGCAACACTTGTTTTTAAATGCCGACAAACCATAAATTATCTTGTAATTTAAGGTATTACCATGCATTGACCTACTGGAAGGCCTCCAAAATTAAAAATGATATCATTAATTCTGAACTCTACAACCTTAAAGCTTTGATCGTAACAATTTAATTACTAATAAAGATTAAAGTACATACGTAAAGTTCCACGTAGACAGCCTAAGGAGACTATATAGACAAGCAAGTACACTTCATTTAATAAAACGAAACTATTTAGGCCAGTAACGAATTAAACTTTCACCGTTTTAGGGAACAACTTCTGTCTTACACAAATTTATAGACTTGACCAAGGAATTATTAGAGAGGAATAGTGGTTTTGCGTTTCGTCTGATGCGTAAAATAACCTAAGCCCAGTCTTTGGATGAAGGTTGACAACGCTTCTGTAAACCCATAGACTCTGTGGACATCCACGGCAAGCAGTAATCACTTCACATCAGACGAGCCCGCTTGGCAACTTTTAACGGTACCAGTGGTCTATTTCTAATTTATTTAAATCATTGGCCTTTCTGTAGGGTAACATTATCCTGTTTTGTAAGGACGTTTAACATACAAAATTTCACATGGACGAACAATTATCTATGGGTCACATATATATATATTGATGATTCCGTGGCACAGTCGCCGAGGTATCGGCTTCAGCGTCGGGGCTCGTGGGTTCGATTCCCACACGGGATAACTATTTGTGTGACCCGCAGATAGTTGTTTCGCATGTGAGTGTTTGTCCGCGTGAAATATATGTTTGTAAAACGTCCTTACAACACAGGATAATGTTAGCCTAAAGTAAGGGCAATGTTTTTTCAAAAAGAAAAAAAACACATAAATAGTTCTCCCGTGTAGAAATCGAGCCCACGACACCCGGCTCCGAAGCCAATACCTTAGCAACTGTGCCACGGAGTCGGAAATTACAGCAATAGAAACATAACGGGGATGTGACAATGTGAAATTAGTCTTGAAATCGCTGCGACAAGTGCTGAGGCCATATAAACGAGCGCAGCTTTCGTAACCGCATAGTCGACGGCGACTCGCGCGTCGCGGGGGAAAGTCAGCGCACTCTTTCATAAATAGGCAGCGAACTCGGGCCGTTAAGTTCGATTTCATTGGCGTCCCACAACTGGAGGCAACGATAAAACTGTTCTACGAACGACAGCTCTGTGTATAGAAGTTCTCGCGTGTAACGCGCAAATGAGTGCGTTACAGTTTTTATAGTCGTCTATCGACGATCGTGTTCATTGAAACGACTGGGAGAACAACAAACAGTTGTACCGTCCCGACATGCCGCCAAGGTCACCACCGCGCAATTGTGTTTATTAATTGACATTCATTGAGTCCGTACGGCATATTATTAAAAATAGCGACATCGTTAATTGTGAAGGCGATGAACCACTTTGGCTAAAAGCGATCTGCCGAGCGATTAGGTAGGTACACTTGTTTGAGACGAGAAAGAGGTGTCCCGTTTTCTTTTTTGTTTGATCAAGATTATGCACGTTTATTTGCACCGCAATTCGCGTATGTGGGCCAAGGATGATAAATCATACGTCAGTAAGTGTAACGCATATGTAAAAAAGAAACATCTTAAAAGGCGACATCTAAGGTAACCTACATAATTATTTCAATTAAGCAATAAGGGAAACTCGGCCCAATGCCACACATAACCACAACTGGAAATAACTAACTAAAGTTGAAGAAAATTATGCATCACATTTTCTGTTTGTATCTCTGCAAGTGAAGATGAAGTCTCTGTATAATAATTTAATGTTAAATAAATTAAAAAGAGTATACAAAAAATTGAGAAGCTCTAGATTTTTTGGAGCCGGTTGAAAATGAGTAATACACTTTGATTATAGACAATATTGAGATTAGTGAGCGAAACGTGTCATTCCAACTTCATGAGAAAAACATCCTACACGATAGAAGCTTTTGATGTTCCATTACGTTACCGTTTTGTCTGAAACGTTGAAGCTGGAAATTTTAAGAAATAATGTTTGCCGCAAAGACGAAGCTGATCTTCTAACAATAGCATCTTTGACATTCCAACATCACTATAATTAATTATGACTGTAACAGTTATGGCAAACCTGTTTTGTAATAGCGAATGCAAGTTCTCAAACTGTGGTTTAATTCGATATCTATGATAGAAAAGATTCGGTGGTTCAAATCTAACTGAAGACATATTACAAAATAGCCTGGGTCAACAAGAAAATAATAGTCGTAGACGCAAATTTAAATAACAACATAATTGATATAACATACAGATCAACATAATTGATACAACAACGGTACATCTAATATTATGTGATAACTGTTACTGGACATTTGCAACACCCGAAAGGGTTGCAGATGCGTTACCTTTTAATTAAGTTGGCCCCGGTTACCTCATTCATTACACGAAATGCAGAAGTATAATACTTCTACTTCCCGCTGATCTTCTGTCGTGGTACATCCCCGGACGAACCTGCCCATTCGCAGACTAGCGTGGCCCACCACATTTCCCGTACTAGACGTATCATCAGCAGAACCAACACTATTCCAACCTTCAAGCTAACAATTTTCCAGTTAGCTTGGCGATATATGGAAGCTAATTATACTTTAGTAAAACTTGTATTAACTAGTGCGCATATCAGAGACTAGCTCGTAAGGATATATCGGCGGGAACCGGGCAGGAACTAATGTGTGGCAAAGGTCGTCTTGACAAACATGCTGCCAACGAAACGGTGCGCGCTACACGGCAATTACCTGAAGCGAGATAGGGCACGCTCAGTTGCTCGTTTATGTGGAGACTTTGTTTCGGTACGCTAACGTCCCAGTAGCCCGGTGCTAGCGTCGCGAGAGAGAACCTTAATTTTATCCTTAAACCTATCTAAACATAATAACGGCAACACATACTATTTATCACAATCCACTCGAATGTGAGGGCGTGTTTAATCGTTGAAGATGCAACATCCGTTTCATTTTACCCTTGGTAACTTCGGTAAATTGGTACCCAATTTACCAATTTACCGAAATGGCGATCGTTTTCTAGTTTAACGAAAAATATTCTTCTTGTACTAATAAAAGAATCGCGGTTTAACGCAACAAAGAAACTTTACGATGAACGCTTCAAAGAAGCGAGAAATTAGGGTAAACGACGCGATGAAGGGACTCAGGATGACTTTTGGGAGAGTTTAATGAGGCACGACGTTTCATAAACAGGCATTAAAGATTTCTCAAACGACGCTGTAAACTTACTTTGATGCGAAGATTTAAATTACGAAAATGAAAATAAATAAGCATTTCACATGCCATTATTTCCGACAATATTGCAACAATATTGTTAATTTGACGTCATCGCTCAACGATTCTAATGACCTGCATGCGGAACCTCGCCAAGCTTGTGAGGTTGTGGGTCATAATTGCACATAACACGTTGGAAGTCATGTCTTGCGTGTACGTATGAAAATTGATCTCTCGGCATCAAACTGAATACAATAACGGAAACAAAACGAGACACATCAACATGCACAGACAATGGCTTGGACAAACACAAGCGCATATTAAACATGTCGCTATAACTAGAGCCTTCGCCCGGCATACAGATTAATTGTTTACCACAATACGCTCGGAATGAACAAAGAAAAAGAAACATTGGTCATATAAATTTAATATCCCGCACAAATTACTAACTAATTTGATAATGTTATAAACGTAGAACTTGTCTCCAAATAGTCATGTTATCGCTGTACGGAAATAAGTTGTTTTTTTCACGAGCTCTGCTATCACAGACGCGATGTCTTTTGACAACGACTGATCTGTTCTCTTAATATAAATCTTGAGACTACGCAGTTCAAAGAGGTGCGTTAAACATACAAAATTTTACTAGTACGGATATAACGAAAAGTAGTATTTTCCACTCTAAAAATATTTTCTTATATTTAATTTTTCTTACGCGTTTTTTTAAAATTACGCAGATCCATTATAGCATATCCTATTCTACTGGTAGAGCCAGAGATATTATTTGTGGCTCAGTTTCCTTATTAGTTGGTCTGGTTGTAAACTACTAATTTAAGGCAGTAATAGACTAAATTTCAAGAACGAAAAAACGTTTCTCAAAATTTGCAACATGTAAACTTATAAAATTATCAATGCGTTAAAATAAAAGAAACGGTACAACTGTTTAGAACAGACGGTCAGTTAAATGGGATACAATTGACATACACAATTCTCGGTGTGCTAACCTGTGACGTCACAAAAGAACGGTAACGAAAAAAAAAAACTAATACTTTAAGACACGTTTCCACACAACGTTATCGAGACCCAAACTAAAGAAAGCTTTGACCAGCGATATTAGGTAACTCATAAACATACTTAAACGGAGTTTTCCTTTTATAAATAAATTAAAATAGAATTGAAACAGATAATGATATGAAAACAGGTTCAATGTATAATTATAAAGTCAATCTTGGATCGTTTCCAGTTGCCTTTCCGCGGGCTGTGCACGATGAAACTTCGCACAGTCCTCAAGACGAAAAGCGAAAACATCAGACAAAAAAACCAATTAGCTGCTGGCAGAATATATTTAACGAGTAAAATAAAAATAAATTTTCTGTAGTATACCTTCGTACACAAACACATAAAACCGACGATTCGAAATTCACGGTCTTAGGTTTAAACTTACAGTACGCTCCGCGATCATAATAATCGTTTCTGCATACAATGTTTCGTCACGTGTTACCTCAGCACCGTTGCTGCTTCGTTCGTTTGATCATAAAACGTTACAAATACGAAATTGTGTACGCCTCACGTCGCAATCGTGGAAAGCTGTTTGGGAATATTCCTAAATTCGCAATATCCGTAAATAAATATTAGATGATTGCGCGCTCCCCTCGTCACTGCGACCCAATTCCGATTTTCCTAAATTAATTTAAACGTAATGCTCCAAGTTCATTACGCAGTTCGCACACGAATTATTAAATGTACATCTTTATAAGAGTAGCGCTGTAAAGGCGACAAAAATATAGGATACAGATTAATGGTAAAAGGTAACGGTAATGGTGACTTCTAAAATTATTTAAAGTTATTTTTGCAAAAATTGCATTCGGGAAGCCTTTTGCTCAAAAAATCACTTCAAAATACAAAAAAAAACCAAAGATATGTGTTTGTAATTTTATAAGAAAATTCCACAAAATTGTTATAAGTACTTAATAAAAACCTTATAAATATAAATTTAAAAGTATATAAGTAGTTAAATGCCAATAAGTATCAAAAATTATGTTTTGCTTGAGAACTTTGCGCAAACAACACATCTGATGCCGCGCTAGACTGGCCGTGGGACTCAAATTCCTGTGACACTGTTGGATAGAGGTCGACAGGAGATCGACCTTTGACGCAACAGAATGCATTGCAAAGACTTTTAAAGCAACACTCCATTAGACCATATTATGCAGAATGATTCAAACTATATATGGAGAAATTATGTAACAGATGTATCCACTTACTAGTAAAACGACGCCTATTTTTGTACTAGCAATGTAGTGTTGTTGCCAAATTTAAACGCAAAACACACAAACAAATACATTTTTTTACGCTATAAGTCAAGGTGCTCCTTCTATATTCCGAACAGACAAACACCGCACGTGACACTGAAACACGGCGAAGGAACTAAAATGAGAGAGAAATTGCTAATTAGAAGTTTTTGTCCCTGCAAAATTAAGTTCGATTTAATGTTATGTAATGGAGCAGAAGTTAATGCGAAGTATTAACTTCTGTCAAATTGTTCTTCAAGTACAGTACTTAAAGAACAATGCAAATCGGAGAAACTGAAGAAACGTTGGCCGAGCCGAATATCATCGGAAAGATAAAACTACAATAGAATAAGTTTCCGAAGCCATTTTGCGAGGCTGGATGTACGCTATCTGGAACGACAATGCGACGACACCCTCAGTTATCGCGGGGCGGGTTATTGGATAAAATCTGTATAAACTAACGACAAAGATAGGCAAAAGATGTCATCTTTCACCATCTAGGGTATAGCATAATAACTATTTAATCGTTAGCATTTTCATAAAGTAATCGCGTTCATCTGATGCCGCGCTAGACACTAAACAAATACAAATGTTTGCTGACATCATATAACGCAATAATCAAACCGTGAAACAATAAATTATAAATAAATCACATATAACTTTTTCAAATATAACCTTGCAGAGATACTCTTGGTAAGCGAGTTACTCAGCCTTGTAACTTGAATTAAGTGCGACAAATAAATGCTCGTTAGAAAACATTGTAGCTTTGACATTGAACTATATTGACGTCTACCTACAGATAAAATGTGCAAGTCTTGACGGACGTACACAAGTGCTCAAAACAAATTCTAGAATTACAAATGACGCGGAAACGTAGAAAGAAGTGTAAAAGTTTCGAAAACATCGTTTTGCCCAACGTGAGATATTAGTACGTTAAACATTTTTTTTACGAAAAACTTTTTGCATATCATATTTTACTTAAATATTTTATATCTTCCTGTTTTACGAGCCTTTCATGTGTACCGACTGCACGCACATAATACATTAAAGAAAAATTTTACAATTTCGAAAACTTACGACCAGAACATTCTAGTGCGTCTTAATAGAGAAATATAATGAAACCAAAATGAGACGATTCGACAACCAAGGCGATCGAAATGAACGTCGTCAGCCGACGTAGCCATGAAATAACCTAACCCGATAACCGTGAACAGATAGACTAACGAGCTGCCGCCGAACCACCAGGAATGTGGGCCGTATCCGATTTCGAAGCACGGCACTTGCATTAGCCGTCCCGATCGCGATTGAGAACATTCCAAACGACAGCGGGCCGTCGCATCGCAACGCCTAAATTGCCGTCACAAAACAAAGCTATGAAGCTGGAATTATGATGCAAAGACGGATAAGATAAAGATTCAATCAAACTCAAATTTGATTCACACTTTTGCCACTATTGACTTATCTGGCTTCATTAGCTAATGTTTCTGAATACACGCCTACGTGAGACACGATAAGGCGGTGAGTAAAGTCGATACGTAATTTTTCTAGATAATTATCTGGACTCTCATATTTCTTAAAACACAATAATAAATCGAGGAATGCAATTAATTACACGGATTTAAATTAACTTTTTTGTTACCTACAATTCGAGTTTCGATAAATCTTCAAATAAAGAAAGAAAAAAATTATAAACTCAATTCCTTGTAAAATAATAGGGAACTTCTAATAAATATTCTCTGCCATTGAAAATTTCTAGTTTATAGATAATGTACGCGAGAAGATAGAAATCTGATGGACGTTTTTTGAAGTATTTAATATGTTGTAGTATAGTTTTATTATATTATGTGAATAGTATTGGCATTGTTTAAAAAAGGCATTACAAAGGCAATTTAAATTAAAAAAAAATGAATATTTCAATTAATTTCGGACGATTCCAATGATTTCTTTTTTTACGCGATACTATACGTTGTTTAATAACTTTGTTTTACGGATGTTTTGCGTTTCATTTTCATTTATCATGAACACTGTATCGAGTCCATGGTGAGAATGGACAGAATGGACAAATCCAAATTAAATCCACAAAAAACCTTTTTTTTTAATTATACAGTTTCTATGAATTAACCCTTACAAATATTTTTTTGCCTTAAAAATATTTTCGGCTCTACATATACATTTTTTTAACGATAGAAATTGGGATACGGGAGGATAATACTCGACGCAATAATCGCTTCATTTTACTGACACTGCGACAACCTTCTGCTTAGATGCTATAACAAAAATTACAAGCAAATAAAAGAAATACAATAAAATTAAAATCACTCTCGCGAAGTGGCGCACAATCGAAGAAAACGCTTCGTTTATTTCTGCACGTGCAATTTAAAATGCTGCGTAAGTGCTTAGATGTTACTTAACTTTTTAAACGCGTTTTGTAACCTACTTCGCGGGGGACGTATCGACGAAGCGTCAGAAGGCTGATTAGTCGATTTATTTTACATGTATGCGTTTATTTTAAACACACCTTATATGTATTCAACTCATAAATTAAACGCTCACAACAAACATGTTATCGCTACAAGTCCGTAGACGTTCGTAGCACCGCAAAAAATGAGATGTTCAATTAATCGTAACGACTATTGTCGATCAATACGATTAACTCAAATGTGGGTAGTTGAAAAAAATCACCACAGCAATCATGACTAAACGTGAAAATAATCAAAAACCAATTTCCGTCTCGTTACCGCACTCGATCCGTTAGAACTCGGCGTTCGGGACGCGACATATACACTGAGCAGTCGGGTGCTTTACGTACAAGTAGGTTCGGGGGGTGGATTTTTGAACGCACTAGTCCGGCGGCGGCGGTGTACACGGTGCACAGAGTGGGGCCGCGTGCGCGCACCGACCTCCTTTCCCCGTCGGCTGCACTGGCGCAACGCTGACCGAACAAAACAAGCGCCCGCTGACCGGGCGAGATCCGCTTGCGTCGCAATACTTTCACCGCTCGGGCGGCGTGCGCGTGCGCGTGTTGCGTGCGTGCGAGCGTTGCGCGCGCCGCTTCGTTGGCTACTGAGCGCACGGCGGCTTTGGCTCGCCGCTGGTGGGGCCGCACAGACCGACGCCGCGATGCGGTCACCTGATAGCGCCTGAAACTCACCCCCCGGCGGACGACGCCTTCAGTCGCTTTTCCGTCTCTTCGATATAGGATGTAACAATATGGATATCGGGGTATAAATTAATATAAATTTGTACGTTTGTACGAAGTGGCTCACTTTCAAATAATTTTACTATTGTAGGGCCATGCAATAGTGTTCGCCGTACGTAAGTACCACGACCTTAGAAAAAACCGGTGTAAATTGGAAGTGTTCTGCGTTTCGTCTGGTGAGTGAATTAGCCGAGTTACTTTATTAAAAGGTGGCAACGCATTTGCAACTTTACGTGTGTTGCAAATGTCCATGGTCGGCGGTTATCACTCAAACACCAAGTGAACCGCCAGGTCGATTACCACTCCCTCGCATAAAAAAATCTAATAGAAATGATTCTGCAATTCCGTTAAATGATTGTACGTTGATTGAAAGAGGTTTATTTGAAACTACACAGACTGACGTATACAACACTAACTTATAACCACTTTAAGTAAAAAAATAGGATATTTAATATAAATCACACAATATTTTTTTTACCTTTTCACAATTGGACGTCGTAGGTCATGCCAAAAAGGTCACCACTCAACGTTGGAGTAAAACCAAATCGTTCATTTTGAGCTATGAAATTAGATATCGCCAAACTTAAAAATACTTTTTAACTCAACGTTTGTTTATTTATTTTCGATAATTGAATCGCGAAGCCACCAAATAAAACTACTGAACTGGTACTAACAATATAGTGAAGCCTAATCGTGAGATGCCAAATATATACTGGGATATAACTCATATTATCATCCCATAGCAAAAAGGAAGATTTCGTCGCGCAACTATGAAACATACAAATCAAATCAAGAAATAATAAGATTCGTCATAAAAATAATTGCAACACATTATTGAGAGAGTTCTCGTTCTGAGAAATTGAGTATACAACTTTAGCTGTCAATAGTCAATATTGAAAATAATTATAAACAACATCATTCTTTGTATGATATAGAAACTAAACGCTTACGCGATATTCTAATTCGAGTCGACAAATAAAAAAATGCGTATACATGAAGATTGATGTGTATCTAATAGAGAAACGAATACCTTGACCATAACAGAGCCAGTGAAATAGCTCTCAGAAAATTATAATATAATTAGATTTAACAAAGTATTGTCAATAAAAGAAGTGTATGTGGAAATGCAGACTTGTAACGATACATTTGCATACAAACCAAGGTTGTTACCGCAATATTTCTAAGATTATTCAATTGGTTGTAACTGCATTGAAATTCTATGAATTAAATTCAATTTAAAGGAATTAACACTCAACAATGTGTAAAGGTGCACACGCTACTGTCATCGTTATATTAAAATTACGTCTACCAGGCATATTTAAAGGTTGACAAATCAAATAAAGATAATTCTATGCTGCAAGTTATCGCTGATCGGTCACTTAACAACACCAGTAAAATGATATTACGCAAAACGCGAATAGATAAGGACGCTAATAGTGAGAGACTAAATCAAATTATTTATTTGTGTTAATGTCCAATTAATCCATTTATCTTTAAAACATGTGTGCGGCATGCACTATTCGTTGAACGTTTATCAAATATTCATAAATGTTTATAATTTATATTCAGTTCGTGAAACAGATAAAAAAAACACAGGAATTATTAAGTGGCAAAAAAGAAAAGGAAGGTCAAACTAGGATCTATTCTAGTCGTTCAGGTAGGAGCAGGCTCTATTGTTAAGGATCCTAAGTAACACGTCACTCGGGATAGTGCAAGGAAATACGTGAGGCGGTGGTGCGCATGGTATCGATGGCATTTATCTTGATAACGATGACTACTACCATAGTGTTACTGATTAAATATTATTTAAATACAAAAATTTAATGCATGAACGAGGATTATGGACACGAATAAGCTGTTACGGCAGTAGAGCGACCCATTAGCTTTTATTGTTATACGAATGGGCAGGCTCTACCGGAAATCTTGCAAGAACAAATGCTTCGAATTTTACTACGTTTAATTATATTTAAAACTCTCAATGTTTTTCAATGTATCCAAGCTTCCGATTGCACATCATAAAATGGCATTAATATAAGTAATCATTTATGTATATATTTATTTTACGTAGTGACACTACTATGGATCTTTAGGAGCAGTTGCTAAGCTATTGGCCTTGGCGATAATTAGTTCGATTTCCAACCGAAACAAGCTACGCTTAGCGTATTAGTAAAATGCTTTCGAAGCACAGAATTATAATATCCTACAGTAAAGTTAACGTTTTAAAAAATTGCGTCCGAACTGTGTAAATCTTCTCCAGCTCCGCTTTAATATGTTACTAAAAGCATCATCTTTAGAGAGTAGTTCTCCAACCGTAAAACCTCTTTCATAATTTCAATACATGTTACGATTATCCTCACGATGCGTAACTGTACTGTTTACCGGATTTACCCACACCGCACAAGTTTTAAACACTCTAACAATTTATCCGATAGATGACATCACTATCATCGTCCCAGATCAGTCCACTGCTTATAAAGGCCTCTCCTAAGGTACTTCCCTTAGCCCAATGGTTTGTGTTTTCCTCATTAATTGCCTGCCGGCAGCCTTCCGTATGCCGTACTTTATAACCATTGCAGGTTTACGAAGCAGAATAACCAAATGGTATAGTCCACTACAATCAAGCAAACATCAGAAATAAGTTCAACATACACCTCTGCCTGTACGACACACTAGGCGATACTTGGATCATGGAAAACATCACTTGCATATTTAAAAAGTACATCTGATTGTAAATGCTGCGTGATTGGAAGTTGTACAATTCAGCAGCATTTTTTTAACGTTTTAAGTTTGGCAAGCGAGACGGCGGTTCACCTGATGTTAAGTGATTACCGCCCCCCATATCTACAACACCTGAAGCGTTACAGATGCATTGTCACTTGATCAGGTAAGATCAAACGAGGTGGCGATTCACCTGATGTTAAGTGATAACCGCCGCCCATGGACATTTGCAACACCCGTAGGGTTGAAGAAGCGTTGCCACCTTTAAATAAAGTGGGCGCGGGCTACCTCACTCACCAGACGGGGGGGGGGGGGGGGGCATGTTCATCAATGGGCTCGAACAGACAGTAGTGATAATGACGACGATGAAATTATAAAACAAATGGGCCGTGGTGGATTAGACTCCACGCGCTCGATTTAATTCAGGCGTACGTACCCGAACAAGCCGAATTCCCAATATCGGTTAAGGCAACTGTGAAATTGTAATTGCAAATTTAAGTGCTGATTTAGCGCTTTTCAGCGATGAAGAAAGAAATACCGAGGATATGCAGGTAATCTAAAAATATTTTTTTTAATATGTTTTAATATACAGAATGGCTTTTCTAAGTGTATCCATTTTTTTAATTAAATTCTAGACATAAATAATGTTATATAGAAAATGATAAATATTTAAAATCACTCGTAGGTAATTAATTACATTCATTTGAACTTATCTCAAAAAGTGCGTGACTTATACGCAACTCATTTAATTTACGCGCGATCATTATAACTAACACGGACACAAGTTCGTGCACAGTAAAATTTAGGTATTTATGTATGACTACCGCATTGTCAACACGTTCTGTTTTTTAGGGAAAAGAATGCCATTTTTTTATTTCAATAAACGATTATACTACAGAGTCTGAACCTCCTGTGTAAATTTGGGCACTTCTCAAAAAATCTCCCTGTATTATACGACGTCTGTATAACATGTTACATATTAGACGGCCGTAATAGCATCTGTACATATGCGGCCTCTAACCCCACTATGTAGCATATTATGTATAGGCCCGATCCCTTAGTTTATATAAACCTTACCATTTCTCGGATCTATGTTTCTCTAAAGAATACATAAAACATAAAACTATTTTAGTTCAAGGTTTTAAATATATAACGTATTCTCGAGTTTTGTTTCACTTTTTATCAATATTACGTTTCGCTTTCACACGAATTTCGTCAAATGATATTACAATAGGAATGACTTTGAATTATAGATAACCAATATTGCGGTCACGAGCATACATACGTAAACACTCCTGATTATCGAATAATCAAGTCTGACACATAAAAGTGGGGCAAATGATACAACTCGATTTGAAGCAGACTGAAATGTTTCAAACAATCTTGTAAAACCAACAAAGCCACTACTAGCAAAAACAGGAAGAAAAGAAATATACGTTATGATAATACAGATTTTTTCCTTGTGTAGTTTCGTTTTGTATTTCTAAAAAAAATTTGTACCGTTTCAACTGTTTCTTATGTTTGCCTTGAAGAAATTTCGGACCATATTATATTTTGAGGCTGCATAAAATGTATTTAAGTACTTTACGTCATACGTTATATATAATGAATTCACCTACCCTTGATGGTAAAATAGTCCATAGTCCATTTATCATATCCACTACGAGGACAGACGAAGGGCACGCACAGATTCATAATACATTACACATTTTGTTATAAAACGAAAAAGAAAATAACGACCGACGAGAATTTCTTTTGTTAATAGATATAATTTAACAATAAAGTAGACAAAGGCATTATATTCAATAGTTAAGTGATTGTGATTTGTGTCACAGATGGCAAGCGTGGTCTATGCAAATTCTTCAATATAATAATCAATTTATGAAGTTTGAGATTTAAATTCAAATCTTTTATCCGGGATGTAAAAGTGGACTCCATTTATCTATACAATAAAATAGGCAAGTATCGGAATCTTAAGGAGATTTAAATATGAGTCGATAAAGCGATTAGAAGACCAATAATTAAAGACCATTGATGACGGCCAATAATAAATGATCAACACATGTCGTCATAAAATAATCGACCGCATCGTCAATGTCCAAAAACGAAATTAATGGATGTATTACGTTAGGGAGAGTTACTGACAAATGACGAAATGCAGCACAATTAATCTAATCCAAATGTGACACGGACGTAAAGCAATTATTGAATACCAGTTATTAATTATCATCAATATAATTGGTTTTAGTAAGTTTCTAATATATGCGAGGCTGCACGTGATTCATGTACTTGGTATACATTTCTAGTGTATTAAGTTTGTCTGTCGTATTCCACAACAAAACATTTAATTCAAGTATGTCAAAATTGCTTAGTGAACGTGTTTTGTACCACTGTCCATCAATTAGTTTTCCCCGATTTTTGAATTTGCAAAACGCAGAAATCACTGTACTTATAAAATTACATTTGTGACAGCTCGGTTAGGGTTCAAGGGGGAGAGATACCTATTAAATAAACGTATTTTGATGTCCGTAGGCTGCGGATTCACATAACATCAGGTAAACCGCTTCCTCGTAGATAATAGAAATATATATATATATATATATATATATATATACAAACTAACGGACCCGACAGACGATGTCCTGTACACACGAATTAAATCCGACAACTTATAAATTAAAAAAAAAATAAATAATATTGTAGGGGACCGAATTGCGAATCTCCACCATTAAAATCGGTCCAACCATTTAGGACGAGTTCAGTGACACACACCCACAGAAGAATTACATATCTATAAAGATAGTTTGTTACATTTTTTTCAACTTTTGCGTCTACAAATGTGGGGTGTAATGTTATAGATACAGGTTTATTCTAGAATAGATGTAAGAACTTATTTGTGTAAAAACATGAGTAATGTTAATATATAGAACACTATTATAGATATCGTTAATTTTCGCAGCGCAACCAATATAAAGTCCGGCAACATTTTGATACCTTGGGTTACATTTCAGGTAGGGATCCCTAATTATTTTGAAAATATTATATAGCCTATGTTACTCAGAAAATATTTCTAATGGACTTTCTAATGATGAGAGTATTTTTAAAATCGATTAAGTAGTTAAATCGTAACAAACAAAAAAATCAAATCTTTCCCCTTTATAATATTATTATATATTATATAGTTTACATGTAGTTTGTACGGGTATATAGTTTTATTAAAGATTTTAATATAAAATTTGGTATTTTAAATTAATGCCGCAATAAATATATAAAACCTTTACTACAACGCTTTTCTCGCAAACCTGATAAGAAAGATAGAAGCTGTAAGAGAATCTGACCAACATTTTACTTTCCCTGAAACCAGTTTGTGGTTTCGGAGAAGACACGTAAAAAATAGCAGACACTCGTTTAAGTTATCACAATGAACATATCAAAAGTAAAATGTGCATAATCAAGCGAGAAACAATCTTCCCAACAAGCTATTAAGACGGCTATTATCTCGTACGGCTACATATTTATTAGCCCAGAATCCAATGAAATTGCATTCGGACAACGTTGTTAAACGATAACTTCCATTTTCGTCCTGTTTATCGGACGAAGTTCGCACAGCCCGGTCGGTGTGAGCACGGCCATTGTGAGCACCGACGGGCGAACGACCAATCGGCATTACACAACTTATGCCCTTTTTGCGCGATCTTGACATTTCTTACGATCGAAACGATACGAGTGGAATTAATTCATTCATGTATTCGGACGTTAATCGCTACTGCGCTGAATGGAGATATATTAAAAGTTCACTCCCGCGCACGTACGCCTTCCTTCTTTCACTTATATGTCTGATATTTGATAAACGCGTATGATTTTTTTATGACCACGTTGCGTTCAATACTCGTACTACTGAATTATTTACGCTAAAAGCAAGCTGTGGCCGCGTACTAAATGTATAATTTATATTGTGAATTTAGTCTAGTCGTGGCGGATGAGCTTAGTAGCAGTGGCTTGGTCCCCCACGGTGGAGCCAAGAGGAACCCATATCGGGCCGTAAAAAGTGGCTCATGGAGCCCACACTGGATTCGTGAGGTAGAGGGTGGTAGAGGTGGGGCCGCCCTCCCCGTCCTCTGCAACCGAGGAGTTTGGAACGTAGAGGAATATGTGAGACGTTTGCGACTAAGCGGATCTACTGAATTTTTGGACCAACAGCGACGTTCATTTGACCAAATCGACACTCAACTAGCCCAGTTCTTAAACACAATAGTAGAGTGATCTATTGGCCCGTCTCATTGCAGTGTCGGAACGGTATTCCACGCGTGATCCTGTCGCTCTGAATCATTTCAATCTCGACCATTTCCTCGAAACGGGTCAAGTCCGAGACGTACGGTACTATTGTGTCAGCTGACGCGGGGGGAAACAAAGGCGAGTCGTCGCCGTCTCGGCGGACAAAGGCGTACGCGGACAGTGACGGAGTGACTAACGGTAGGAAACGCATGATAGAAGAAAGTGTTCGCAACGGTACCTCGATCGTAACTTTAAACTGCGGCCAAATGAGGTCAACGTAGCCGTATACTGCCAGTTTTTAACCGTGGCTGCTCCCGCGTTGATCATTTCGAAATGATTTTATCGAGATGAAATCGTTTTTCCCCAAATGCTGACCCCAATAAAAGATATCTTAAAAATGAATTTCAATAAAGTTCCTTCACTAGACAGAAGAGAAGAACATACACTCACAAACTTTACCATTTTCAATATTAGTGTTGCGATTGTCGCTTTTCATAATATAATTTAACTTCAGCAAAATATTTTAGACGTTTTATATCTAGTAAACGTAATAGAAACTTGAAATCATAAAATAACGATACCGCAATTAAGAAATGTGTCCTGATAGAGCAAAACATAAATCGGCAGTCTCTGTTGATCTTTAAATCACCAGTCGAGCGCTCTGAATGTTTTAACGAAGAAAATTTTAAAACTGATTGAACTTTTGCAAAACAAAATATTTATTTCGGAAACATAACTTTTTGCACTGGAGCTGCGTAAGCGAAAGGCCCGTGCCTAAACCTTCAGACCTACAAGGACGCTTTAATTTCGTTACTTCCACACAGCTTTTTAAGGTTGAATTCGTATGGAGATAACTCTTTATGTTCCTATTAGTTTATTAAGTAGCCGCGCTGATATAACTACGCCAACGCATAATTTATAATATACTTCCTCGCTGGAAGTAAACAGTATTTTGAGACAGTATTTTGATGTTGTTTAAAACCCAAGGAATGATGATTCAGTTTGTATATCCAGAATACACTGCATCAACAAACGCATAGTCTTCATTTCGGTTATAAAACTATGAAATAATGAGCAAAGGAAAGTGAAATAAACAATTCTCATCGCGTAAAGTCCAGGATAGAGTGACGTTGAGGGCTATTATAAGATGCTTTACAGCACAAAAACAGAGTGGACATTATTGGTACGGAGCCATTTAGAAGCGGATCGTGGATTAGCGTGAATTACATTGCACGTTCCGTAATTAGTGTAGTGTCGTCGCTTCTCATCGGATTTCGGGAATTTTTGGCCAAACATCAAAAAGGTCAAATTTCTTTTTTTAAGCATTTATCTCGAAAAATATTACACAGTAAAGACGTATATTAAATTGTTAATTATCACTATTTCCCATTTAGTCGTATAAGTGGTTTAGTCATAGCACGAATTGAGACGTAATCGGGCGTACAATAATAGAAATAAAAGGTAAAGGAAATTATATACAATAATTTTCAATAGTCTTTCTTATACGATACTTTTTAGTATTCTAAAATTAATATTCAACCTTTATAAATATGCAGAATGAAGCTCGAAGAGGAACTGAAGTATCAACGAGCTTTTCTATTATCAATAAAAAACTCTAAGGACAATGGGCATTTTAACCATTACGCTAGAGGAAGTGGCAAGTGAGCTGGCGGTTCACCTAATTTTAAGTGGTACGCCGCCCATGAACATTTGCAGCACCCGTAGGGTTACAGATGCGTTGACATCTTTTAATAAAATGGGCTCCGATTATGTCACTCACCAGACTAAACGCAATATAACACCTCCACTTCACGTCGGTCTCTGTGAGGCCGTAGTACTACCCCAGACGGACCTGCCCATTCGTGCAACAGCGAAGACTGTTGCGTGGCCCTACCATGACACACCTGTATCTTATAAGGTATAAATGGAGATGAAGTGACTCCACATAAAGAAATTTACGCATACAAGAAATCTTAAAGGAACTCAAAATTCTTCTACGTCTCACAAAATAAACTGGAAAAATGTCCAGATACGAAAGAATTATCTTTGGGTCACATCAACACCTTGTCGTTTGTGAAACGAATCCACGATCCCTGAGTGAAGCCAAAAATATAAAAAACTCAATAATGATACAATTTATACAGTAAAATTTATTTGTTTGTATTTAATGGGTAATCTCAGAAACTATCAAAGAGATTGTAAAAAAAAAACTGTTCTAGAGACCTACATTATCATTGCATAAGAAACACTTTATTTGGATAAAATGAACGCAAGTTTTTTCTTTGGAATCAAAACTTTAGTACTCGAGTCGCAATATCATAGTTATAATATCTAGCTCAAAATAGAAGGATATTTCTTGAAATTTTGGTTAAGTTAGTTCAAGAAATATGCATCTATTTCAATTACAGCAATGGAGAGGCACTTTAAGATGAATTCTGAATAGTTGACATATTCTGAATAGCTGACATATTCGTCAGTTACCTTGTCTCTAAATTGCGATACAGAGTAAGAAAAGTTACAGGCTTTGTCGTGCGAAGACGGGGCGGGCAAGCTTGTCATAATACAATGTTAAATCGAAGGTACATAACAGGAAACAAGGATCGCGTGTTTATTTATAACGCGACCTTTAAGGAGAACGCAATCATTTTGGACCTCGGGATCAATTAGGCAATGAAAAAAATATTACCTTAGCCAAAACGCATCCATCAATGTGTCAAAACGTCAGAGAGCAAGAATAACGCGATCTTCCATACTGGGCCCCGGTGGCAATGGAGCAAACGGACAAGCCTGTAGCCGGTACCCGTAAATAATCTGTTGACGTTACGGTTTGTTTTATTTATTTTTAACCGACTTCAAAAGAGGAGGTTCTCAATTCGACTGTATTTTTTTTATGTTTGTTACCTCAGAACTTTCGCTTCAATGGACCGATTTCGATGTTTCTTTTTCTATTTGAAAGTGCTTCCTATGTGGTCCCATAGCAATTTAATTGGTATTGCATTTTAGGCTCCGGAGATACGTAGAGAACTCCTTAAAATCAAATAGAAATTTTACATTACATTATGACGCGACCCAAGAAAAGCTGTAACGCCTTTGTGCTGGTAAACGCACACGTTTCCGAAGTCCAAGGTTCAATACCAATGGAATTAACATGATGATCTCATGTGGGACTTCATAGAAGCTATTGCAAAAAGACTTTTTAAAGTCCTGAATTCTGGGGTAACCCAAAAAAGTAAGAATAAAAAAAACAATGAGAATTGATAAACCTCCGTGTTTTTAAAGTCGGTTGAGTAAAAAAACTAAATTAAGGGATGTAACGAACATTTTGAAATTTTAGGATATTAATACTCAATAACGCATTTGTTTTCATAATAAAATTTCTATGGCCAAATTAAAGAATTTAATTTTCCCAAATTGCTCCTTGGTATGTAACAACATCAAATAAATATTTATATACATTTCTTTACAAAAGTGCAAACTTTGCAAGATCTTTGATTTGATATATCTATTACATTCATACATAAAATGTCTCCGTCTAAGAAAGTTTCATTCTAGATGTGTGCAAAAAGACTAAGGCAAAAAAATTCGTTTTCTTGAATGACACTGTCAGACAAAAGGTATAACAAGCAGAGCGCAAGTTAAGGTTCTAAAATAAAAGTTTCGAGGGGACTAGACGTGTGACATTCCCCCTCACCCCGGTTTTAATAACATCTACACAAGATTTACTGGGGCTAACTGTAAGACCACAATTTATGTTTGATAATATCACACTTAAATTGCATACCCAGAATAAAAATAAAATGCTGTGGATACAAAAGTTTATTCTTGCATAAGAGCCTATCGTGATCGTTTCACCATTTTAGATAAACGTATACACTTATCGGTATCCCTTCTTTTATACTGTCTATTTTTTAACAATATTTATAATCGAATGATTTTTGATTGGTAGGTACGTTTTTATCGTCAAAAACAATAGAAAAACTGTTAATATGTTAAAATTTCATGTCCTATTAAAAATTTTCTGACACATGAGTGTAGGAAATGATTCCTAACAAAATTGTAACATCTTAAAACAACTTACGGACGTTAGTTTTTTTGTTTAATATAGAGTATAGAGATACGTGAACAATTTTCATAAAGAGAAATGTGTTCCTTTCAATAAGTTTTTAAGACGAGATGAAGATAAGATCGACTGTCCTAGTTTCGGCCCTTGTTGATATTCACATAATACATATGATGGTTAAACATACGCTATGCTCGAGAAGCGACGTTGCCAGGCCGGCGAAGGTTGAGGAGTGACGGGCGGCGTCATCAGTTCTACGTAGCTGCAATATTAATGAGGGCTCTCGTTAACCATTGTTCAAGAATAGAAATGGCCACTCGCTCGCATTTAGGGTTTCATGTTTGCCTTTGCGGCGCAGGGTTTATGTAACGGCGCTTAGTAACCTCTGCACCTCGCGTAAGGCGACTTTAAAGTAGCAGACACTCGAGCCACATAAGTAAAGTAACAGCCTATACATGTCCCACTGCTGGGCGAAGGCCTCCTCTATTCAGAGGGTATCAGGGCATAGTCCACCACGCGGCCCCACTAGACCGTAAAGTAAAATATTTAGACTTTTGCATTCTGGTAAGGGTTTGAAGAGAGATCGAGAAAACTTTAGATGGACAGTGTGAAGAATGGTATTCCTGTGAAAAAAGTAAGTATTCACATGACGGCAGATAGAAGAAAGTGGAAGAGAAGGACATGTTGTGCTGACCCGAACTAACGTTACAAAAGCCTGAGAAAAACAGAAATTTAAATTAGGGCTCACTCTCTAAATGGTTAGCGCGACTGTCCATGAAGTCCGTATCAGGTGAAAAGCGTTTTGCTTTTCTTCTATAAAAACCAGACCTTAAGAGCCCCTCATTTAGAATCTGTTGTCCGCTCATATTGATATTATCTCCATAAAAATTACGTTTTTGAAGCTCGGACGTAATACAACAACAATATTGGGTCACCGCTGAAGTCGCCGAATTACAGGGAGTAGAATGAGAGGCATACGCTCAAGATATCGAGACCTCGAGCAATGACGGCGCGGTCTGTATAAAACAATCAGCGTTATCTTGATAGGTTTGCCTACGCCGCGTTAACAAACACGGCTTCCGAGAAACTTGATAGTGTAATATTAAAATGACACACGTATCAGTAGCGCGTCGTGTTTGATTTGCCACAAGTGCCTGCCGTGGCGCAACGCACGCGAGACGCGATCGTTTGCGCCGGGCGGAGGCTGCGATGTATCCACTCGAGCCCCGACACTCGGACGCTTCGAAATGGACCAATTATATGGGGCTGCGCGCATTCCTCGTTTGCTAACGTGACGGGCGGTGATCGAACGCTTTCGATCTCGGTAATAATATAGCGCTTTAGTTGTTTACGCAAACGAATGATTGTTAAATATTTATTGTTTAATAACCACGTAGTCCATACAGAGGCGGCTGCTAGAAGGCGCTGTCTTACTTTACTGGTGACTAAAAGCTGGGTTCGGGATAGTACCCCGGTCGTCTACTCAAGTGAACCCGGTAGGTGTGGTCGCGAGAAGTGGTCTCGGTCCATGTGAGATTCCGGAGTCCGTTCCGACGTACCAAGGTAGGACACCGTACACCATGGTACTTAAAACCCAACTCCAGCTGACTAGGAATTGTCGAAGATCAATCGAAACAATATACTGACTCTATTAAAGTAGACAACATTTGAATAGAGCTAGCTATTGATTGGTAGATTTCAATAACCAAAATAATCATAAAGCACTTCATTCAATAACATATTAATAGATTCTGACCACACAAAAGTAAATTTCATTCCTTAATGAAATAGATTACAGAAGTTGTCTCTTATTTGAGGAAACTACCGGCGATGCGAGCGAATGACGATCTTAGAACGGCTTTAAACAGAAAAGACAAAACATTACGCAAATATCGAGCACTCACTCGATCTCCGCGCTCCATATATCGTGATCTTCATCCCATCCAACCTGCATCTCGCCAAAAACGCATAAACGTGCACGCTGGCTACTTACGGCAGCGAGCGCTCAATAGCGCGCTACAAACAAACATCTAAGTATAGAATTCCACGTTGGTACAGGCAGACTGGTCCAGAGAAGAACCAACGCCCCAAAAAAGACTGATGTGAAGTTGAGGTGCCTATACTCTTGCGTTTTGCACGGGTATACACTCGGGGCCGATTCTTAAAGGTTGGCAAGGCAACTGCGAGCTCACTGCTGTAGTAGGTTAATGAAGGGCGGACATCACTTAGCGTCAGGTGCATCGCCTGCCACTTTTTCCAATACAGAAATAAAAACAATTCAATACGCTTAAAACTTCCACGTGTGTAACATTGCGAAAAGCGAAGATTTATCACTCTCTCAACGCTCCACATTGGAACACATTTAACACGATTCGCAATTGTCACACGCGAAATCAATCAAAGCCTCTGCAACTAATAATATTAATGACTCTTTAGTGCTGCGTGAAAATGGCCGGTGAAGTCACACATGTAAAAGATGTTTCTTCAGCATTTATTATGAGAGTACTCACCTGAACAGTAAGAAAAAACTCATTTACGAAAGCGCAATTTACACAATCTGAATGTTACATAGTTAACAAATGAAAATCACTTGGGGAAAAAAATAATACTAATACTCCGCCGATGCAAGGTTTCCGACTGAGGTATAATTAGTTATCAGACATATTAAGTTTTATCATGATTTTCAACACTAATATCGAATTAAGATACCATTAATCGATATCAAGTCCAACATCTGCACTTGACGGCGGCGTTCGAATTAATTCTGATTTTTAAATTGTTCGTAAGACATATTTAATTGACATTTCAGCATTTTTGTACAGAAAAACGTATAAATTAGTGAAGATAATGGCTTCTTTTATCTTTCCTGATTCATAAATTAACACCATTTAAAGAGTTATCGTAATTGCAGTCATAGCTTATAAAGTTATTATTCTTTTACACAAAGAGCGACACCCTATCCTGTTCGGAATTAAATTAGCCTAAAAACTTGTTTTAAATTTTCTTTCCGACATTCGTTTATGTAAAATTAAAGAAATGGTGAAATTTCAATCTTATCGTAAACATCTATCCTAATAATAAAGATAGCAAACCAAACTCAGCCGAAGATTATTTGTTCCTCGATAAACTTAAATAATACCTGAAACTTCATTGCGGTCACTTATATGGAAGTGGCAACGACGCATATTGAGAAAAAATCAATCACCGCCTTCCGACGGCTGCAAGTTCTCTTGCAGACCAATTCGGTCTTCAGGGTTGTAGTAATAATTACAAAAGAGAATTTCAAACATATGTACGCCACGCCGCGTGGTGGAGTATTCCCTGATACCTTTACAGACTCTTTACAGAGTCGTCCAATAAGGCAGCACGTCGTTTATAAAGGCGCCATCAAAGGCGGACGCCATGCATCGTTTTCCGCCGCTAATCGCGATGCATTTTCACGACGTGGGCGTTCAGCGAGAGGACCGGGATCCGTCAGACGTGGCGGCGGATGCGGGGCCTGCTCAGCGTCAACTCGAGAGGTGTCCATGCTGGCGCCGCCGCCAATCATTCAATTGTACAAATCCCGCGCGCCGGGATCGCGCTCAATTGCCGCGAGCATCGCCCGAGGGCAACGGATGCGCCGCGTTTCCGAATGCATCGCGTAATGCGACGTTAATCGTACTTATTACGTTTAATAACCGTATGCATTACAGCTTCGGACGTTATTATATTTTGAAAAAGTCAATTGTAAGTAGCGTCTCTGATACTTACGGTGCCATTTAAAGTTTTCCATTGGTCGCACATAATTTGGGTGTTTTGATTTCCAATATCTAGTTGATAGAAATTAAGTACTCCACTAAGTACACAAGTACCCTACTCCCGTTCCCTCTCCCACATCACTAAATAACGTGATTTGTGGACCTCAAAATGGCGAAGAAGTTATTTGGAATAAGTGAAAGTACGACGTATCTATTTTATGTTCAAATCGCGTGAATTTTCTACCCTACTACATTACTTTTCTACCATCTTCTAAAAAGGTTTTTATAAAGTCCATATTAAATTTAACTACCTGTTTATTTACATGTGATGTTCCGCATCTTGATAACGTATCTCTTTTATGTTAAAACCGCGTGAATTTTCTACCCTACTACATTACTTTTCTACCATCTTCTACAAAGGTTTTTATAAAGTCCATATTAAATTTAACTACCTGTTTATTTACATGTAGGTGATCCGCATCTTGATAACTGATTAACCGGGTTAAAAGTGGCATGAGGGTGATAAAAGCACCCCAGTCTATCCCGTGATCACGATCAATGCAAAGGATTTAATAAAATCCATAATATTAGTTCCATTTAATGTGTCTCATTATCATGTGAAAAATCAGTATGGTAAACAGATAAACAACACGTCAATACATACGTAGTCGCAACATTATCTTTGCTCAAGCAGAAAATGAAAGGAATGTTTGAAATATTTGGAACAGGTCGACTTTCGACGTCTGTTTATGGGCAATCCCGCGAGGTGTTTGTTGTAAACAATCATTTGGATGTGATAGCGTGCCAAATATATATCGGTTAAAAATTTCAATGAGTGATAGAGGTATGAATTTACTATATGGGTACGTAAAAATAAATACTTTTAAAACCCCCCAAAAACTAATTACACTTTTACCACTAGCATAAGAGCAGAAATAACAGAATATGAATTTTACAAATAATTAAAGACAGCCTTAAGTCTTCTTCATAAAGAAATAGATGTTGTATTACAAATTTAAATATAAAGATGGGTCAAACTTAATAATATATAACAGCTCAATATGGCTTTAAGTCGACTTGTGGTGCAACTCCAAGTTATCGGCTTCTTCGACGGGATGTGACCAACAGATAATTGTTCTGAATCTGGGGTTTTGTTCCCGAGGAGGGTTGAAGCCAGAGAACCTAGTCAATACCACTCACAATATAAGCTGCGTGCTGTACCGACCCCCGTTAATAGTGAAGGAATTATATAGTAAAGGATGTACAAACGATAGTACGTTCTAAACATTGAGTCATGGGGCGATGCCCTTAACACAGCGTCAACAGAGACATAAAAATCTTCCGATGGCAAATCGGGATGAGTGATCGCCGCTGATAACGGAGGTGGTACAGTAACGACCTCGATCCGACTACGGCTCTTGGTGCAACGAGCTGGACGGGTCGTTACCGCAAAGACGACTGTACAAAGAGGTGTGATGAAATACAGATAATTCGCATGCACCCGCGCGTCCGTGACCGAGAGACCCCGTTAAGATCCTCTCGAAATTTATCGGTTACAGCAGATTTCGCTGTCGTTACATTTAATAGACTCGGGATTTGCGTAATTTATGGAGGTCAATGTGTGCGTATGCAAATAAAGGGCCCTCAATTTCGATCGCGTAATGGAATAATGGATCGAGTTTACATCGGTTGAGGAGTATAAACACAGGGATCGAGATAACGGTGAGTTCCGTTCAAGGGCCTCTTCAGTAACATTTAAGATTAATTTAATTGATAACACCACTACTTATGATCCCTTTATAACGTTAACGTCGGTTAGTAAAGCTCTTATCTGCGTAAACGATTACGGGGGTTAGGGAATAACGTTAATTTTATTCATAATGTACACTTTAAAATAATTTTGGTATATGACCATAAGCACATGGTTACATGCAAATTAGTTTTTTTGGTATGAATTCAATCATATTCATTGTAATGTGTATAGCAAAATATGTACATCTTCTATCTCCTGTCCTTTTCGTGTAATTAATGGTTTTGGCTGAAGTTTGTTTACGACCAGCCGCCTGCCTGAAGTCAATCCTTCTTGGAAATAAACACCCAGATCCGGAGTAATTCGATCAGTCGCAAAAACACTTGGGAATTTGAGAATCGAACCCACGACGCCCGGCGCCGAAGCCTTAGCAATTGCCTCGCCGATCAAACAACATATGAATAAAAAACTATTAAATACAAAGTTATAAATGGACACGGATTGTAGCACTTTCATATACATAAATAGGTGCACGTGGTTTGAGCGAAAAACGAGTTAAGATAGGAAAAATCAGTCTAATCATATCCAAAACAGAGATAAAACGAAAATTTCTTTAGTTCCCGGTCGAAATAACCTATGACAGCATTGCATGAAAAATATTTGTTTAATTTATGAACAAAGGATTGTCAGCGACCGTCAAGCGGCGGTATGTTTTGGATGCCATTAGGGAGCGATGGAACAACACGAGATAACTCATCCGGCACTCTTTGCTCATTAAACTAGAAGACAGGTGATGTGTGACAAACAAGAAGCCGGAGGCTCGTCCGCCGTTATCTGACTTTAACGTACCTCCTTATCGATACGAGACAAGTGCGTAGTTCTCTGTCCCGTTTCGGAAACAAACAAAGGATTCCAAAGTCGTGCAAAACTGTGACATGCTTAACGTGGCGCCAAAATACGGGATAAGAAGACTGAATTCGTTATTCATTATACACTATGTTGGGACAATTGGAAACGTGCACGCTACATATGACAAATAGGAGCAATTTGATCTGTCATGTTTACAATGAATTAAATAATCTAAGAATAAATAAAATAACTTTATTTCATGAACTGCCTACCCTTGATAAAAATTATTTTCATCATCATTAGCCGGAAGTCTACGACTGTGGAGAAAAGGCCCTTCCTTAGAACGCCACAAAATTCACGCAAAAACCTATGTACAGGATTTATTTCGAAAAGGTATAACAGCAAAAGATGAATGTGGCTGATTGACCTTGTTCGTAAAAGAATTCAAGTATCGAGACATTTAAAGCTTTGAATTAAAATAAATGAATTAAAAACGTTTTCTTTTTAAAATAGAGCAATGCTGCTTTCACTATACATGTGTGTACTGACATGTTAAAGTATTGACATGTTAATATGGAAAGGGAAAATAGATGTTGTAACGACAATGGCGACGGCATGAAATCGATTCGAGCGTGCTGGTGCCGCCACAATGCTGGCAATTGAGCCGCGAGCGTGACTCCACGACGGGGCTCAATAGCACGTAGCCTCGTGATGTTTGAGCCCCTCACGATCCCTGGACAAACATCTCTATAGCCCTCCATTGAATGGCGGATCACGTTTGTGACCGAAACATGTGCCTCCCCACTTGTAGGATATCAAAGCAATGTCGCGTCCACTGAATTTCATACTGCGTAGGCATAGCTTATCGTAGAAACATCACTACATAGTATAAAACAAAGTCCTCCCGCTGTTTGTCTGTCCCTATGTATGCTTTGATCTTTGAAAACTACGCAATGGATCTTGATGCGGTTTTTTAATACATTGATTCAAGAGGAAGGTTTATATGTATAATACATTGCACCCGTGCGAAGCCGGGGCGGGTCGCTAACTGTAATATATAAACAATTAGCGATAATATAAATAGAGAAACTACAGTCAGTCAACAGAAACGTCAGTATTTATAGCTAGCGATCATAGTTTAGTAACGCTTTTTATCGAAATCCAAAAAAGAAATCAAATACATCACGTTCCGAAGTGTCCATGTGACATATTTTTTTTATGTGAAAAGTTTCGAAACGAGCAGACGGTTCACCTGATGTTAAGTGAATACCGCCGCCCATGGACATCTGCTACACCCGAGGGTTACAGATGCGTTGACAACCTTTTGAACATTGGGCTCCGGCTACCTCACTCACCAGACGAAACGCGAAAGTATTTGTCATACTTCAACTTTACCCTGGTCTTCTGTGAGGTCAGTACCCGGTCGCGCCTGCCCATTCGTGCAACAGCCGAGCCTGCTGCGTGGCCCTACCACCGCATACATTATACAGAGAAGCTGGAATAAGACCGTAAATATGGAAATGCACTAGACATTGGTAGACAGACGCCACTGGCACCCAAGCAGCATGCTATTGCAGATCAAAATCTATAGATACGCTTATACAATCTAACCATACCTTAGCCATCTCCGATTTTAAATCTAAAACTATTCATAAAACGTGCCAAAGTGCAGCAAAGTCAAAAGTTTTAAAGAATTCGTCATTTCATTGATCACGTGTAAAGAAATTATTTTTAAAAAATCATCACGTCGTCATTCAAATGAATATAGTGGGGACTATGCTTGTTTATTAGTTTTGTAATCGTTACAAATACCATTAATTAATCAGGAGTTTTAGGAAATAGTCACGTTCTATATTAATGTCCGTTGTACATATTTTAGAGAAGCGAGTCATCATCAAGTTATTATTTTTAACGCATTCTATTCAAAATAAAATAAACGGTTTTTATTAAAATAAAATGTCAAAATGAAAAATAACGCCCGGTTTCTGCAACACTGATCCTGTATCCCAAATATAATCAGAAAGTATGCTCTAACAGACAGTGTAAATCGTGTACTAGGTTTTTGCAGCTGCAATATTTCATAGGAAATCACAGGCATCCTTGGTATATAATTAGGGAACAAAACGGATACGTTAGAGGATACAAAAAGATGAAGATAAACATCAGTAAATTTTTCCTCTATATGTAAATAATCCCAAATCGTATCTCGGGTGCTATGCGTCGTTGTCAGATGTAATGTCGCTATAAGACAATGAAATCATTATAAAGACTGAACAGAGTTTTCTGCGTAAAAGATAATTATAAAACAGCGAAATTATTGGAGCGTACAAAGAAAAAATTCCATTAGAAAGACACGTACGTGTTTACCTCGTTAGAAAAAAACCATAATATTTTGTAAAAAGGTAAAACGGATTTAAATGAACATAACTCTCATCTGTCTGAAATAAGACAAAAATATTTAATCTGATAATTAATCTATTTTTTTAATAAAAAGAAAAATGATAAAAGGGAATGACTGGAGTTCACATTAAGATCCATCATCTGACCAAACGCAACTCGTACATAAAACTGTTTAATCAAATCTTTATCACGAATTTGTCAAATTTGTCATTGCTAGCAATAGTTACCGATTTGTTTGCACAACAAATTGACACCTCGTGCCATGTAAATATTAATATATTAAAATCGAGTCCCAGATATTGAGACATGAGCCATAACAGCTTCGCATAAGAAAATAAATATATTCATAGCCCCGTTATAATAACGATTGAAGACGGTTTGGTGTTGATACAAATACTTTGTACGCGTTTTACTTCCACTGTTTGAGGAAAACATTGCAAACGTGTGTTTTAACTGATAGCGATAAAATAAAGAGGTGTGATATAAATAACATGTGGTTTATTAAGCAAACTTTACAATCTGCGCATGATCGTTATAAATTTTAATCAGTCTTAAGAACACAGTAGCGTCATCTGAAATTTACCAAGAAAATTTTAAGTAAAATAATATTTATGATCATGATCGATAGTACAACATTTAACCTTTAATTGATAATAAGATATTATTTCTTTGGGGAAGTAAAAGTGGAACAATTTATAAAAGATTTTTTTTATTTTGGCTTGGCAAAAATCCAGAGGTAAAGATTCAAGTTGGTAGCATCTTATTTATTGTTTCTCAATAATAACAGCGTACAGTATTAAAATAGACCGTGGAAAATCAATAGAAAACATAGTTAAGTGAACGAACTACTTCAAACGGGCCTTAGCAATTGCAGTCTCTGTTATTACTAAAGTGACCTACTTTTGTTATCGCCTTTACTTAGTTTCCTAAGTTCAGGCGATAACCAATCCAATGTGACTTAACGATTGTCACGAAGTCAAATTGTTCATTTAATGTTAAAAGTTAAGTTTGTTGGAGTACTACAAGTTTAAACATTTAAAATGCAATTAAATTACAGTGAAATTAATCTAAAACTATCGAAACACAGTCGCAACGGCTCAGTTAAAAAAGCAGCGCGGTCCCTCCTTTTAATTATATGACCTTTGGACGGTAAATACTATACAGTGCAAAGAAAGTTAACGATAAAATAAATATAACATACAATAAATCTGTGGAAAAAAATTTAATACAATAAATTGTCTTCAGAAATGCTACATATTAGATGTCTCCTACACGCTTGTGGCGTTGACTTCATCATTAACAAGAAATAAAAGAAAACAAAAAGCCAATGGTAGACAAGTGTTACCAGCCTATTTATTTCGACGTAACTTATTAGAACGTACCGGGTGGTTGGTAGACATTTAACATCATCGTCATTATCCTCCTGTCCTTATTCCACCGCCTGCCTGACTTCGACACTTCGAAACCAATTCTCCCTGTGGAATTTATGGGATGATGAATTTATTCGTACTTGTTATTTGAGGAACTAGTTGAAACTCCACCTAGCACAGCCACGGAAAAATTTTCCTGAATTTAGTCTAGAAAAATTTGTGCATAAAGCATGCGCATGTCTTAATGTGTCACCGTGTACTCTACCTTAAACGGGAATATAATAAGTCTGTCATCGTAAATGGAAAGTACTCAAGTAAGAGTATTCTCAGTTTACAAGGAATCAAAAAACCTTGAGACGGAACTCGCTACCACCATTCATTTAAGTTATTATTTACCTCAGATTGTCGTGTGGAAGTAAAATCGCTACGACATTTGTTTATTAACCAGATAGCTAGAGCCGTTTACCTGACGCTGACGTACATACTGCGTAAATACCGGCAGATATGAAACCTTAATACAGACACTACTAGTACGCAATGCACCTACAAATTAGTTTAATTTAACGTGAAATATATATTTTATGGACAGTTCCGCTGAACCATAGATAAGACAAATGGGAATTTTTCCAACCGCTACAGTTGCCAACAATGTTACATAAAAGCGCCCACGAGGAACAAACGCAAACTACCTCCGGACTATTAACACTTACGCTCGCGATTTGCACCAGATAAGCTTTCACATGTTGTATGGAATAAGCCTCAATGCATCTGCTCCTACGTGTAATCGCATTAGTTAGTACGTAATTCCACCGCAACTGGCGTGTACAGTAATGAAAGAGCACGTGTATGTGCTCCGCTCGCCCTAACTCCATCGCAAGGTCGCCGGGTAATAGGAGCAATTGTGTAATTAATCATTTCACGAGACCCCAGCGAGCATCTTTCAAGGCACGGGGAGGTGCGTTCTTATGTAAGAACTATTACACCGTCGTACGTCTGCTTGATTACGGTCCACGTTTACGGGCACAATGACAAAGGAAACAATAGGGACCCCCCCTCCCTTCTCCCCCTCCTCCGACCCCGCCCCGTTGCCCGCCATTGCAAGCTGTTGTCGCCTAAACATCCTATATCGGCCAAGGGCAGCGATCTACTTACTTGCTAAAGGAATGCACATTGGAAGCTGTGGCACAAACGCATTCTATTTTTTCATCTTTTTTTATTACGGACCGACGAGTGCATGATAAAGAGACACACATACACTCTCCTACCTGACGGAAAATGGCGAAGCCGAACAAGGCGGTTAACACACTAGACCGGTAAAAGCCTATTCACGTAGTTACCTATGCTTTTGAATAAGTAAGCCGTAAGTTATTTTTCATTCAAAAATATAATAAAACATCGTAGTACCTACGTCCAAAGAAAACCATTAATCCAAAAAAAAAACATTTTTGTACATGTAGGTACTTTGTTCTTAAAAAAGAATAAAACTTATAAAACCTTTTCCAAGTATGCTTTTTAATAGCATATTTATTCAAGCCCTAACGGAAATGTAAAGAGCATCGGATCATGATAGCTGCAACGGATTAACGCCATCTACGTTATGTGCATTATCCGCTATTATAAAACGAAACCGTTACCACAGGAACGGTATCATTATATGATTATCAACGGAATAACTATTTGTAGTTCATAATTTTTCTTTGCTATGCGAATAATGTCTTTTTTTTATGCGAATAGTTGTCAAACGAGTCACCTGATGTTAAGAAGTGAATAGCGCCGCCCATGGACATCTGCCACACCCGACGGTTACAGACGCGTTGACAACCTTTTGAAAATTGGACTCCGGCTACCACACTCACCAGACGAAACGCGAAAGTATTTGTCATATTTCCACTTTACGCTGATCTTCTGTGAGGTCGTGGTTGCTGCGTGGCCCTACCACCGTCTTACTCCTTGTTTACAACTTAGATTTACAAGCATCGCATTTTTTATTTATTCTTGCCTGTATTAGACTCTGTTTTTAATAGTAATATAAATATAATATAAGATTATAATATTACATTTTTAATAGTAATATAATATAATATAACTAAGATATTATAAACTATTAATATTTTGTTTTCTTGATTTTACGCGAATATTATATTTATTAAATGAAACTAGTTTACGGATTTTACTTTTTACTTACTTTGAGTAAGAGGCGGGCTAGAATCGCAAAGAGATAAACCCGTAATCAGTCCCAAACTCTCTGATTTAAGTATATGAAAATTTTTATTCCATCATGTCACAGCTTACCAACACGGTAGGTACGTTACATAGCCCTTGTCCTATACTGCGTGTATTAATAAAATTAAGGCTACGAAGTGAGGCATAAGCTTTTTAGCAAATTGCGCTATAAACTCCATGGTGTTGCCACCAGCGCCAGCTTGAGGCTTCTCCGTATGAGATAAGGAGGCAGATACAGATAATGTAGGCAGCCTAGATAGGAAACTATGCGCGATGCAAATATTTGCACGGTACCTGCTTAACGAATACGAAAATAGTTACAGGCACTTTTTGCGGCATGTATGGAGCTCATAAAGTCACACTTGCTCACACTAGAAGATTGTACATATTTTCGATTAAAAAACGTAGACATTAAACATTACGTGTTTTCTTACTACTGCTTTCATTCTAAGACATTTGTTAAAACAGAATCAATCAGATTTACTAGAAAACATAGCTATGAAGAAACGAATCTAATTAGTAATATACAACAGTAATAAAATAATAAAATAAAGAAACATTAATTTCGTTGTTAATTTTCTTTACTAATTAGGTACCTAATGTACATCTCATTCATCATGTACATCTGTTTAATTAAGTCAGATCCCTTGGCATCTTAGGCCGAGGTTTAATTATTCCGATGGTATTTCATTTAACTGATTATTCTATTTCGAATTCTGAGCTTTCAATTATTCAGTGCGACGAATTAAATTGGCTGCTCTCAAAGTGGACAACCCTAAAAGCTGCGGACTGGTGTCATTAAAATGGAATTACAGGGACGAATTTGATAGTAAGTTCTTATTTAGATTTATTTAACATTTTTCTTTGAAAACTCACACAGAGCGATTAGTCTTTAAGTTCTGTTCCTAATCTACATTCGTAGCGCATGATTTACATTCGAATTATATTAAATAAAGTCTGAGAGATTGAGACCATTTTGAACCTCCTCTTCCTTTAAAACAGATTTAAACGTTTAACATTATCTATACAAATAAATAAAATTGGAGTGTCTGTGTGTAATATTAAAATAACCGCTTTTTACTGTATAGATATGGATGTACACATGATACTTATACCAAAATAACATTTTTTACAATTTTTGTCTGTCTGTTTGTTACGGCTAATCTTTTAAACGGCTGGATCGATTTTGACGCGACTTTCACTGGCAGATTGCTGATGTCATAAGGAGTAACTTAGGCTACTTTTATTTTAGAAATTTTAATTATTTTAATTTGTACACGGACGAAGACGCGGAGCACAGCTAGTATCAAATAAATAGTATGTATTAAGCGATAGGGTGTAACTTTAGCTATTTGTAATTTAATTTACTGATTTAACGTCAAAGAAAAACATACTGTGCAATAAAGAACGCTTTCGACATCAATGGCCTAACGTTAGACGAACTGCATACGCATCCCATAACAAGTAGTATTAGTAAGGCGCTCATCATAAACCATCTTTTCATAGTGAAACGCCTTGAAAAACACCAATAAACAGTGTAAATACGTCAGGAGCAAAGTTAAGAGCGCCTACGGTGAATTTAATCAAGACTTAACGAGCCGCTAATTAGGGTTGCATTCGAACAAATTGCACGTCACTACGGGGGGAAATTGGATTCCCGCTGGCTGAAGCGCGCTAGCCGTCTGGTTCGGGCTCTACCGCCGCGCCGCAGAAAATTCAATGCACAAACGCTCGACTTAATAGTATAACCCCGTCTGGATAACGTAATAAAGGAAACTTCCGAATGCATTTCCCGAATTGTCTACTGCGAAATCTCCGTTCCTTTATTGCGTATACTCACTCACAAATAATTTTGTGTGACGCGAGTATAATAATAATAAAATAAAAATAATAATACGAAAATTAGATAGAAGAAGATAAGAAAATTATTCAAAACTAGACACATGGGCGAGACGTTTCGCCATAAATACCTAACCCATTCAAACTAGTAAAACGTGTGAATAAACAGAATGGGGAAGGTTAGAAACAATGCACCCGAAGACAATTAAACGATCCGCCTGTCAGTTTCATTGTCGCGTTGTTTGTCAAATGAGACACGGCAATAAAAATCAATGCCCAACATCTGTACAATACAGCCGTGTTGACAATTAAAGCGTTGAAATGAACGCTCACACGGAGTGATGGAGCTCAAGTCATATACAATATACATACGTCCGAGTCATATATTAGAATATATTTTTTATTTACATTTCAAAGCGAAACTAAAATATAATTAGTAAAAAATACAGGAACAGTACGTAGCGTGTAAGAGAAGGGAAGCATAATTCAAATCATGCAAGCGTATACGCGGTGCATCAACTGCAGCAGAACGGCACACGTCTCCAACCTGAAATTGCGGACGTCAATTAGGATTATGGAAGCACTCACTGCCAATGGAAGGGCCCGGTGATTCCGTCGCGGAGGCGGTCCTTGAGGGAGCGCTGCCGCGAGGGACCCGGTCCCGGGATCAGGGTCCCCGCGCCGGCGGGGACCGCGGGCGCGCGCGCCGGCGACGACATCCTGGCCCGGACACTAACAGCCGCGCACCGACACTAACATCACAGCACAGCGCCGAGGGTCACCACTGTAAACGCGCGCTGCAACACAACAAAAGCAACCGAAGCCGCGTAAATAAACGGTAAGCGTGTGGCACTTGCACGCGGACCGAGGACCGTACCGCTGAGTATGGTGGAAGCGAAATCGATGCTAATGCCATGTGGTGATGGGTGCAAGCGACAGATAAAGCACTTAAAACTATGTGATAAATAGGAGCAACCCGACAACCATGACAATCAAATGCTAAGAAAGAAATAAAAATACCGTCATAATTATAAACACAAGCGCCTATCAATTTATAATAGCAAACCTTTGCCCTGCAACTTTTGCCTTTATTATAACACAGTAAGTTTTAAGATGTCTATTTTTCATTGCGTAATAATGTTAATTCTTTCGCTAAGTGGTAAGTAGTTTAACAGTTTAGTATTTTAGTAACACTATTAGTATCATGTTTTGTGGTCGATATTAATCGCAATATAATTTCTGATGTTATTTCCCGAGTTTTATTACAATTTAATGTCATAGAGCACAAGAGAACTGAATGCTTAAAATTAATATCTTTACTACGCCGCGTTTCGATGACGCCATTTCTATGCGTTTAAAAACTTTCGTTCTAGAGTGGTTATCAATAAAATGGAACAGCTAGCACAATTTATCGCAGTGTACAATAGCCGATACTTTCGTTATCGGTACGCCGCGTTAGGAAACAGTTACAAAGTTGCATGTTTTTTGTAATTAGACACTTGAATAGTGGACGGCGCTTCGATCATAATAAACGACAAAATTTAATAAGGATTAATAAAAAAATAAAAAAATATCAGCCAAAATTCTTTGCGACGACACTGTTATTATTCACTGTTATTATTCACCTTTTAGCAGTTACTTTTGGTCAAAAACTCTCTATTAACGTTCTGTTTATACTCCGGCGGTTAAATTGAATGGTTATTTATGTACCTTAAAAATGAAAATTTTAACTTTACACAAAAGTCTAATACCATGATCTATCTATTTTCCATTCTGCCTTTTAGGGCGCGGGGGAGGAGAGGAGGAGGAATTTACGAACTTCAATCGAAATATAGTCTTTTACGAAATATTAACTTCGTTAGAAGATCTTTTACGGACTTCATTTACAAACAATGCTCTATAATGCACAAACTGATCCGGCAAGATTGTGTTCGTATATCATGCGAACACTCGTCACACGAACCTCACCTCACACATATGACCCACTGCGCCAATCGACACTAATACTTTAATCGCTGACAAGTGCCTGCGTCGAGTGTTATGACCGTCCACGAGCTACGATTATGTCAAAAATAGATGTCTATGCGACATGTAAATGAATGGATCCGATACTAATAATCTAAGCGAGTGTACATGCAAAGACGGGATACGTTAGCTAACTGTGGTTAAGCGGCCCGATATAGAGACCGCAAACACCGGTTTTACAGTGACACTACTAAATCGCAAATATCCGCAATTCCAATTCTATTATTGTAATGACAGTTCGGGTTACACATAAACATCACTGCATAGTATAAAACATAGTCGTCCCGCTGTCTGTCTGTCTCTATATATGCTTTTATCTTCAACAATTACGCAACGGCCCTTGATGCGGTTTTTTACTAGATAGAGGGATTCAAGAGGAAGGTCTATATGTTTAATACAATGAACTCGTGCGAAACGAGGTGCTTGTCGCTAGTCCTTACTAATATTATAAAGGCGAAAGTTTGTATGTATGGATGGATGTTTGTTCCTCTTTCACACAAATATTATTGAATGGATTTTAATGAAAGTTTTCAATAATATAGCTTATTCATCACAATAAGACAGGCTACAATTTATATACATTTTTAATGTATATCTGTCTTTCTGTCTGAATGTTACGCCTTCTGCCTATTCTACGCAGACGTAGTCGCGGATAGCAGTTTCATAGAAACCAGATTGTACATATGTTATTTAGACTCTGTCTTAAATACCATATGTAAAATAGAAATAGTCTATTATCTAGTCTAGTAGTCTTTTATACGTATCGTTATCATATTTAATGAGATTACTAATAGCCAAACGCGACAAGACACGAGCTTGTCATAAAATGGCAGACATGAATGAGAAGCAACGGTTTTTGTTTGTAATAAATTCTTTCATGCCCATAACATTGATCAAAATGTAGTATCTGCTGATGGAGGTATACACGTCATTGACCGATAACATCATTTCTATCTGTCTCTTATCATGGAGCTGCTTTTATAAATCGTATATTAAATCACAACTCTTCATTAAAAACCATAAACATGTCATAGATATTTATCATATGTTTTTCTTAGTCACGAATTCATATCTGCCCTTCAATTAGCAGACGCGAGTATAATATTATGATCGTTCTGTAAGTTTTTCTAAAGTCACAAGTATAAACACCTTCACGGAGTATGTGGATCTACATAGTATCATGCAATCTCGCAAGGGACCTTACTTTCCATCGAATTTAAAACTGATGCATTAAACTAATACTTGCAATTTGTATCGAGTCTCCCAATGACGCAATTAATTTAATTTTAAAAATAAAAATAAATTTCGTTTACCTTTGTTTTTTTATTTATAAGCTTCAAAATTCATAGCTCAATAATGTTATAAACGCGAAATTAAAAAAATTATAAAAGAGATAATAATCTATTTTTCTTTTAACACATTTTTGTGATTGACAATACCAATTTAACTCGATTAAGTGAGAAGAATTAAATATATCAACAGTCAATCAAAAATTACTCGGTATTTACGTGATTATCATCACATTCAATCAAGGCCACATCTGCAACAATCCATTTGTCGGACGTAATCTCACACGCTTTATATTGATATAAGATTTGAAAATTGTTTATTTAAAGCACTGATACGTAAACAGTTTCGAAATGTCACTGTTTGTATGAGATATAATATCACAAGTATTCCATACTTCTTCGAACATCAATCCATTAAACTCAATACTTTGTATCAAGGCTTATTTTTGTGGAAAGAACAGTATAACTTGTTTGAGTAAAGCAAAATATAGTGGTTTCTTAATAATCATTCAGCAATTGACTTAATGTATGTTTTTTTCAGATAACTTGTTATAATTATGTTCATTAAAAGTATTTATATTCATATTTTCTTAACCCTGTAAGATATCGGAATTTTGCATCATTATCAAAGCGAAATTTAAAATTTGTCAATTTGAAATCCGTTCGTCTAGCCGCTTCGGAGTCTATTCAAGACAAACTGTAATAGGCAAGGAATAAAAGGCAACTACGGTAATTTATGATCAGATATACAATACATATACAATACATATATCAGAAAAGATTACACTTTTTAACAAATTATTTTTTGATGTACATTCAACTAAAAATAAGTTTTAATTGATAATTCCGCTGAAAGTATATTATCATTGCACAGTAACTCGCAAAAACGGGCAAACAGACTGGGAAATCGGTGATCGGTATTTTATATAAGATCTTGGCTGTACTATACACCAACTGTGCCCTTTTCTCAGAGCGTCACCAATCTAATACAAAACCACCGAGGGGTTCGTAGTACGCTAGGGCGTGCCGTGGAGCGGAATTAATTTCCAGGGACGTGTGAAAAATAAATTACGCGCCGCACCGACGCCGACGCCCGGCTTTCGGCGAAGTTGTGACGGCTTCACGCGGCCCTAACAAAGTCTAAAAGTGAAAGGAAATCAAAGTAAATATTCCTTAATCGTTCAGGATTGGTATTAATCAAAGGGGAAGCCCTCTTTTTTTAAAGGAAAATGAGGCAAACGAGCGAGCCAGATGGTTAGTTATCAACGCCGTCTATGCACAATCGCAAACCAGGGTAGATGCAAATGCGTTGCCGGCCTTTGCGGTAGTAAAGGAAATTAACAGCCTATACAACTTCAATGGGCAAAGGCCTCTTACAGAGGGTATGAGCGGTGATAGATCAGTGTCTAGGCGTTCGCTTTTAATTCAACATACTCAGGAACCTGAGTTCAAAAGTCGGTGCCAGCACCAATTAAATTGTCAATTTTAATTTCTGAATTACCACGCGCTTTGAGGTAGGCATTGAATGAATTAGGTTGTCTTCTAGAAGGTCCCTAAGTACTAAGAGTACGTGAGGTATCGATTCTTTTTGACGCGTAGTGAGGTCGCTAAATTCGGCAAATAGCGTACACAGTAAACTTTTATGATTTTGTGATATTGATTCATTCTAGCGATTTATTTTTATGTTATCGAAATAATTACTTTTTTATAATTTAAGTTAACTTAAATAACATAAGTACTATAACAACGATACCAAAAAATTGACCTTCACGTCTGAGATAGGCCAGGATTCTTATAAACATTATGGAAATGCATAACAATAGCACCAATAAAAAAAATTCAAGCAATCTCCTGTACTTTAGACAAATCGATGTTTCGAATTCATGAAAGGCGTTTTAAATGTTACCATTTATCAGTATTTTTTTTGTTGGCAATAAACTTCTTTCACAAGGGTGTAAGTTGGGCTTCCAATATTGACTCTAAACTTACATATGTATTAATTCTAAGTTAAACTGAGTTCGACACCTATGATTATCTCCGCAAGCCGTCAAGGAAGCAGAAAACAAAGTAGTAATTAGGCCAAAGGTCACTGAAAGAATATTTTACTCGCTTGACAATTTGTGCACATAAAAAATTAATAATATGATTGTAATCAGAATAACCGAAGCAGGAAACCGTAAAAGCTGTTTGAAACATATAATTATACAAAAGTCAATGATAAACCGGTTTTGTTTAACCATAACAACAATCCAACGAAGTAAATATTACGTTCCACAATAATTCTAAATTAAATCGGACGTAGAATATTAAACAGTGGAGCGGTATGCGAGGCGTTTTGGCCCGATAAGCAAGAAAGCATCGCTGCCATATTCATAGGGTGGCTGCTTCATTATTCAAACAGGGCA